TGTCGACACGATACAGGTACTTCCTATATTTCTTGGAAGGTACCATGCTTCCACAATAAATTCGGACGGCCTGCACATTGATGACAAACTATTGCCTGGTCTACGGCCTCGGACGATTTGGCCCCCAATACAAGGCCACATGAGACTTCTCCTGATCGCCAGTACTATTTGGATAAGTCGGAGGGTATTCATGCAACCTGCTTTGATTTGCGGGTCTGGAGAAAATCAAGGGGCTGGGCAGTTGATGGAAGATGTGATTGGGCTCTCTCTTCGCCCCCAGGCTTCGCCCCAGATTTCAATCCACACTTTTGCGCAAGCGTAAAACGCTGTCAGGGTCCAAGCAGATCTATCCCGCTCTTCCCTTTGCACCCGGGAGGATTGGGCGATGTTGTCACCATGAAGTACAGCCGCACTTCGATTCTTAAGAGCCTGACTACGCTTGGCTTTCTTTTCCTTTCTCGTTTTTGGAGCTCAGCCACCTTTGTATCTGTACCAATAGTCGCACGGCCTTACTGGGAGCAGTTTGTATCCTTTCCCCGGTTAACCTTCCTCAACAAGACGTTCGACAATGCCTTTCTCGGACATGATACTGAGTTAATTCCGATTCCCAGAAGCTACCGAAGCTCCGGTCGCCTGCTTCACACCCTATCTGAGGAAGATTCAGAAAGGGGGCCCCATAGACAATCCCTAGAATATGAGCCTGGTCCAAACAAGAAACACTTGGTCCTCAGAGCAGGGGCAAAGGGTGGAAGTTCACTGCGTTTCTGGATTTCATATCGAGCGTGGTCGTATTCTTCTTCAATGCAGGATTTCTCATTTATTCAGCTACTGGAATTGGCAATGGAAATGGAATGACTCTTGTGAAGGGAGATTGTAAAAACGTGCACCATTTGAGTACCGCAATGCACTGTTTAATCAAATTGTTGGGTGCTGGTGTACTAGGTGCGAGTAACTTCGGAATGGTAAATGGTATGAAGGCAAGATTCCTCATATGTTTCTCAAAAAAAGGTCCCACTCAGCTAACTGTTTTATCTGTGCAGCAATGCCTGATAGCTCCGACTAGAAAGGATATCGATCGGGCTCACAGAGAAGGCAGCTGGCTCGATATTGGAGTGCCAAGTGTTCGGAACCTATTCCGTATGCAAACGTTCATTTCTATGGCTGTGTTTATGTTTCTCGTCCCGTCCTTTCCATTTGTTTTACAGCTCCGCCATTTACTACACAACCGCAGTCCCCGCATACGAGATGCTCGCTGGTCCCGGGTCCTTGCATCAGATGAACTGGCCAGATGTGCAGTTGAACAACGTAGCAAAAACCTCGGACAAGGGCGACTCTCTCAAAAGTCCCCTCCAGGCCGCAAAGAACGGGACATTACGCCATTTGGACAGTACCAGTTGTGTCGCTGCCTTTGCACAACCATACCAAAGATCATATGGCAAGCTTCTCTTAGCAACAGAATATGTCCAAGATAATAATTCGTACACACTCGTCCACATAAACCCTGTGTACCCGCCCGAAGACGATAATGTCGACAAAGCTATGCTTCCCTACCCGTGGGTTTGTCCCTCAGATGGTGGTTCACAGCAAGTTTGCAAAAACAACGGAACTTCTGCCGTCCATAAGTGAGCTGAAAACAAGAATTGGACCGTGAATGTATACAGTCGGGCGATGTGGTATCCGCTAGTTACAACATCCAGCATTGCCTGGCCAAGCCAGTACCGCAGCATTGCAGCCTGCAGTATTCGCCTCCATCAAGGCTTGCGGTCATTGTTGCCAATCTTGTGAAGACAGGAATCCTGTTATAAATATTGCTTGGAATGCCTCGAGCCCCTCTCTTGACTGTTGGCGGCTGTCAATCAAAATGACTCCTTGTACCGTGTATGGCGATGAAATTGCCTCTTTCCTAGGCCGTAGTGATCCTTACTCGCAGGGCATGTGCTTACCCTCGGAGGCAGCGCAATATACACACATCCGGTTTATGCGAAACTGCCATCACTCGAAAACAGAAAATTGCGTCATCCTGCCGTCTACACTGGTAAAACAGAGACGATGGGCTCTAGTATCTCTACTCCTTAGGGCTTCTTTTCTTTTTGGTGCGTTCCATCCTTGTTTGCAATTGTCTCTATTTCCAATTTTCGTTGAGGCTGATTTTTGACTTAGGTGGATGCTATCTATTATAGCTGGACTCGTTATGCTTATGTCTGGATTGAGTAACACAATCGGTACAGACATTTGGAAGACAAAGCTCGGAGACATCAATTCACAAACAATCACCAGCACTGGTGATAGTCAGACATTCGTCACCAACTCGATCATGGCCAATTTGCCCCAACTCATCTTTTCATTCCTCTACGTGGCATATAACAGTATTTTGACCTCGATGTGTCTTTCCGCCGAATGGAGCCGCTTCGGCCACCACCGCAAGGGCCTTCGCGTCTCCCATAAACACAGCTTATCCCAGCGAAGCAATTATTTCCTTTCCCTCCCATACCGCTATGCGGTGCCACTCATGGTGACTGACCTCGGCTGTTCTCCACTGGCTCGTTTCACAGAGTCTGTTCATGATTGCTATTGAAGCGTACAACACGAATATGAAAAGGGACCCATTGCAGGACGTGTATGCCTGTGGGTATTCGTCCGTGCCAATTGTGATTGCGACTTCAATGGGAGCTACCATGTCTACTTGTTTGATCGTTTTAAATCTCCGGCGGTTTGAATAAGCGATGCCCGTGGCGGGGAGCTGCAGCTTGGCCATTGCTGCAGCGTGTCATCCGGGATTCAACCCTAATGTGGATAATATAGAGCTTGAATCTGTGAAGGAGATGGAATCTGAAGACGAGGGAGAGGATATGGCTTTACTGCCTCTTCAATGGGAGTCAATTTCGATCGATAGTCCTATGGGGCACTGTAGCTTTATATCCGGGGAGTGGATCCTCCCGAGAAGGGCCCAAAATACCAATAACACCTGAGAGCTATACCTTCAAAAAGATACTTCAGTTTAGCTTAATCTAAGCTATGCAGAAATAATATCCTGACTTCTCAGGGTGGAACGCTCGATTTCTGTTCTGGTCGGGGTGGCTGGACGAATGCGGTGAGGTCGACGCAAATGATATGAAGCGTCACGGTGACCCTGCCTCCAAGGATGTCAGCCGCGTGATCCGAGCGTTTAGCTTTCGGGTTTGGGAGGATTCTACCTGGTCTGCTAGTATCACGTCCATATAGGCTTCTCTTACGACCTGCAGGTAGCTTCGGGGGAAATAAATGATACCCCGAAGATAAGCTACGTGATTTTCATCTAGAGGCTAAGTGAAGTGGTGCATGCGGTGGGCTACAAGCTCTGAAATGATTTGTATCCTAACCATCGCTTTCATCAACATAGCATACTTGAATAGAAAACGAATCATCAATCCTGTCTGGCAGGGTCCTGAGTAGGCTTGTTAAGCAGGTAGTCATCAATCTCTGCCATGATTTCAGGTGTCAGCATCGGCAAAAGCTTCAGGCTTTGTACGTTGTCGACAATCTGCTCTGGCCTCGAAGCACCCGTGATCACCGATGCAACATTCTCGTTCTTCAGACACCATGCCAGTGCCAGCTGCGAGAGTTTGACGCCCAGCCTATCCGCTAATTCCTATTGAAGGTCAGTCTTATCGTTAATTCGAGTGGTTTGACGATGGGTATACCTTGAGCCCAGCGATCTTGCGAATGTTCCCGGCCCATTCCTCGTTCTCCCAGCCATTTCGGACACTGCTTGCAAACTTGTCGTCGCTCTCAGCAAATCGTGAGCCTGCCGGAGGCGCTGCTGTCGCGTCGTTGTACTTGCCGCTCAACAGACCCATCTTCAATGGAGAGAAAGTGGTGAGACCTATCCCGCACCGCGAATAAATCCGCTGGAATTGTCCCTCGACCCTGCCGCGATCCAACATGTTGTACAGTGGCTGCTCAACAATGGGCGCGATAAGACCCAGGGACTTGGCTATTCCGCAAGCCTCGGTGATCTCATCTGCAGACCATTCCGAAGTTCCCCAGTAGAATGCCCAGCCCCTTTCAATGACGTGGTTGAAGGCGCGGACGGTCTCTTCCATGGGCGTCAGACGATCCGGGCGATGCGCGTAAATAATGTCAACGTATTCGAGCTGCAGTCGCGCCAGAGAAGCCTGGGCACCCTCGACAATGTGTTTCCGTGAAAGACCGTGGTTATTGATCAGGATCTCGCCATTTGCGAGACCCCAGTTTAGCTTGGTAGTAATAACCAGATCGCTGCGCTTCCAGCCGAAGTTTTTGATGGCTTGTCCCATGACAACTTCAGATTGACCATTGGCATAACTACAAGTGTGAGCTCATGGAATTTTAGTAAATGGGCTCAGCGCCTACCTTTCTGCTGTGTCAAAAAGATTGATACCGCAGTCATAAGCCTGCTTCATGCAGTCAAAGGCTGTCTCTATAATATTGAGTTAGCAATATATGGCGCATTGGACTAAATGCCACTCATACGGTTTTCCACATGGCCTCCGAACCTGTAGGATTGGCCCAAATTAGAAATTTTCATCCTTTTACCGGGAACATAGGAAAGCTTCTCACGTTAACCATCCTCCCAATCCAAGGACGGATACATGCAAGCCTGAATTTCCCACACGGCGATATTGCATATCCTTGTGCTTGTTTGGCCACGCCATGGCTTAAGTGTTGAGCCACTGAAAGAAAAAGGTATCACGAACTGTAGACAATTGGAATAGAGGGGGATCAAATCAATTTGTACTGTGTCTACTTCAATAGAATTTCCGATGAAGTCCCGTGGCCAATCATGATTTCGCGTGTGGAGGATCGGAGGCATTCTCGGGGCGATCCAGACTATGTGGGTCCAGTCTCTATGGCGTGCCCCGTTGAGAGTATAACGCAATTGGGTTATCACCATTTTCTTAATGTTCACTTGGATAATTTCGGTTCGGAGTCTCAGTTCTCAACATCTTCGTACTTGGGGACACATAGTCTACCCGTATAGCATGTCTGCTCGGTCCCCGACCAAGATCGCCTGCGATGGCTGTAAGATTCGAAAGGTGAGGATATGGAATCGCCTCTCATTAGAATGTAGGATGTTAATTGGAAACTCGAAGATACGATGCATGGATGGTCATCCATGCCAGGGTTGCCGGAATTCTGGCATCAAGTGTACATATGTTCGAGCCCAGCAGCCCCGCGGTCCGCAGCGCCTGCGTTCCACGACCCAGTATCTGATCGACCAAGTCCAACGCGGAGCCGCAGCTCAGTCTAGCCAGGATTCGATTCAATCCAGGGAGCCGCAGGCGGACATCACAACTCAGTTTCCAGCGGGCGGGCTATCCGGTGATCGGCAATCAGAGAGGTGCGTGTTCAAAGGCCAAGCATCAACATGTTCCTTCCTTATTTTGGCCGTTATTGCGCAGTGTATTATCTATATGCCGAATCCCAACGAATGTCGTTGCCTACCCCCTCTATATCTATCATGTGCGTATGTATCCCGTGTGGCCAATCGTCGATGCCAAAAATGTGATGTCTATTCTCCGACAAGACGGGGACGTCGATCTTGAGACATACGCGCTGGCGACAGCCGTTGCAGCCGCAACAATAGCCCAACTGAAACTCGAGCAAAGCTTCTGGCACGATCAACCAATCACCGCCGATAAATTCGCAGCCGAAAGCATGAAAGCCCGAAGGTTGGGTAAATACAGGTCCGCAGTGAATCTGAATAATGTGCGGACGTCGTTTTTCCTTCATGTCTACCATGAAAGCAAGCATGCAGGCGGGAGCGAGTCGCTACTTTTCCTGAGAGAGGCTATATCTCTCGCTCAGATGATGTATTTGCATCGTGAAACAGCGTACATTGGACTGCCACAAGACGAGCAACAGATTCGCCGGCGAGTGTTGTGGTTGCTGTTTATTACGGAGAGGTAAGGCTCTTCCCATGTGCTTGCCAATTTTTTTTTTTAAAAAAATGCAGGCTCTAATCTTGGAATAGGGGTGTCTGCATTCTTCACAAACTTCCTGTTGTGCTTAAGACTAATATTTCAACACCCGAACTCGATCTCGACGGCGAACCCCAAGTTCTGCCTGCCTTTTTAAAGCTTCTGAATTTGTTCCGCCTCTTTGAGCAGTCCAGGATGTTCGACTTCATAGAAGACGACAATATTGGGATGTGCTCAATCCCTGACGAGATCAGGAATGTGAACAAGAGATCTTTTAAAATGCTGCATGATGGGCTACAAGACGGGTCGACTTTAATGGGCCACATCTCAGACGTGCAGAAAGCCGACCTGTGCGTCACTAGGCACTGGATGCGCATGATCCTATGGAAGGTCTCAGCAAAGGACCAATATTTTCCATCTCAATGGCCTGACTCTCCGTCGTTTCCCATCATGGTCGCAAAAGAGCTTCTGGACATCGTATCTAAGCTACCTCAAGCTGCAATTAAAGCCCATGGGCTTGGCATCGTATGTACCTGGATGGATGTCCATGAATGTATATTACTGACGAGGTACTGCAGGAGCTGAAGTTATATGGGATTGCCAATTCACTGGCTGACGCGGTGATCAATATGGCCATGCTACCAAGGGCTTCGTTCTGGAATTACGAAAGTCGTCCATGCAACATCTTGGCTCGACTTCACTCATTTTTATCCACCTTCCACGGCGGTGAGAATAAGGAACTACTTGACGTGTTGTATAAGAAAATGGCCGAAGCGCAATATAGAGCTGATCGCGCTATACCGTCCACAATACATGCGCCGATGAAAAGTAGACATTTGATTGAAACAACCGCATCCGAGAATCAACTAGTCCAGGAAGAGCCTCTACTTCCAGGACCCGATCACATCATTACAATCCCAGATTATTGGCGCGAGAGCGAGGAGCTGTATCCTGCAATTTTCCCCACTGGCACGGATTGGTTTATGCAAGGCAATCTTACTTCAGTGGAGCAAGCCGATCAGCCGATTTGGCTAGACGATATGCTAGCCTGTGGGTTTGCAGAATCATGTTTCTCTCCAGCGAATAATGGCTGTCCTGCATTTAGCTACGATCCGCAGTTTACAGGACGTATGTAGCCCCACTAGGATTGCACGATTCAAGCCTTGTTCCGTCGAGAATCTGATTGGAAGTTCAATGACCCAGAGTGAGCCCGCCCAGCTCCCGTTTGCGACCTTTTTCGCCAATGGCGACCCAGGACTTTTTCTAGAGGAGGATTTACAGTTGAAAGTATTTGATAACACCGCCTTGCATTCGGTCTTTCATACTTGTGTTGCGCCCAAATGTACATATCCAATCCAAATATATGATACCTTAATCCAAACGTAAAGCCGAACCACTTAGTACGAAAAGCGAAAGTCTAGCCGTTTGTTGCCCTCCTTTTCCCTGGCGACTCGATCGGCTTGGTACAGCCCTTGCTCCTCGGGTGACATAGAATTCCACTTTTTCTCCTTCTGGCGGTTGAGATAGCGCAGGAGCTCACGCTGGAGGACGAAGACGACCAGCGCTAACGCGCATAGCGAAATGAGGACTTTGTTTCCGGTATGATAGTACGGAGCGTCGCTGCTGCGGTAGATTTCTGTGGTAGATTAGCAATGGCTCGGGATGAAATAAAATTTGGAGAAATGTCAAAGACTCACGGGACGAAATTACTGATCCAATCTGCACAATGACATTATACGTCGCTGCCGTGAGGGCTCTCTTTTTGACATCGAATGTGTTCTCGGAGATCCATGCAGACACGATCGGGTGGAAATACGGATATCCTGATATCAGGGTGCTGATTGTGAAGCGCGGCCAGTTGTAGCCGCCGTTCGGCAGGGCGATCAACGCTGCCAGCAGAGGCAGAGACCACAGCTCGCCGAAGAGGCAGTGGAAGGTACGTTCTTTGAGAACCTCGCTGCTCTTGCAGAGGGCAAGCATGAGGATGATCTGTAGTGCGGCCGAGGGAATCGAAAGCATGTTCGCGTCAAAGGTTGTAAATCCGAGGCGTTTGAGGGTCAGGGAGAGGTAGGACTGGACCGGGCCCTGCGGGATGTATGCAATGAGGCCGATCAAGTAGAGGCCCCACATCGATTTGTCACACCAGGCGTCCAGGAGGTCCTGGAGACTGGCATGTTCTTGGATATTAGTGAGCCCCTTCGAAGGGTCGTCGCGGAGGAGACGCTGTACGGAGTTAGACGATTCATGAGCTTTTGGTGAAAGGTACGTACGTTAACCATGATCACCTCCTGGCGTTCCGTGTACCATGGCCTAGGGATGAGAAAGCTTTTGGTATTTGTTGGAGAGCTGGGTAAATAGAGCAAGCTCTGCAAAATGTTAGAATCCTTATTTTCAGCGAGGATATAGAGTTAAATCGTACAACAACACCGATCATGAAGGTGAGCAGCCCTTCGATCAGGAACAACCAGAACCAGCCGGTTTTTCCCTGGACTCCTCGCATCTGGAGAATACCTGCTGCGAGAAGGGAGGAGATAATACGGGCGACCTATAGACAAAAAGTAATGGTTAGACTTCGTGGATTTCAAACTGCTACACGAATGTAGTGATGGGAGCATACATTGAGTGTCGACCAAAAGAATGCCAGGCGCACGGATAGTTCGCGTGTTTTATAGAAATAAGTCGCAAACAAGATCGTCCCCGGAATGAAACCACCTTCAAAGGCGCCAATCAAAGCGCGGGTGATGTAAAACGAAGCACGACCTGTAATCCAGGCTTGCGTCCATGATACCAAGCTCCAGCCGATCATCATGAAAGGAAGGATTCGATTGAAGCCATAGCGCTTGATGAGGAGCTGCACCGGAATTTCTGTCGATAGGAAGGCGATCAACTGGATAGTCGTGCCCTTTAAAAGATTAGTATGCATGCCCATTTTCTTGACATTTTCTCTTCTCACATTGTTGTAATCGTTAGTTGTCATTCCCAAATCAACGAGGAGGTTGTCCGTGAGGGCATTCGATAGATTTCCACGGTCTAGTTGGAGACCAAAAAACTGTTTCTGCTTAGGATTGACCTTCATGCAACTGGAGGGGAAAGAAGCATACCATAAGGCAAATGAATGACAACAGCATCAAATCTGTCTTGAATACAACGTTTCTCTCCTCTTGGGCGGTCCAAGTAGCGGACGGGTCAAAGCGATGGTATCCTTCATAGGACTCATGGGGAGGAATGACACTGGCAAGATTTCCCTGTGCAATGTCTGGGACTTTGGAGTTGTTGTTTTCCTCATCGTATTTTGTTTTGCCTAAGCGGCCCTGCTCAATCTCGGCCATGCTCCTGCAGGACTTGTATACTTTGTATATACTTTGGACAAACCGGTAGTTAGAAAAAGGAGTGTAGAATGAGAGTATCTATGGCGAGAAACTTATATAGCACGGGGATTTCTGTAGTTATATAGTTATGGGTTATTTATTCCTTGTGTCCAGTGTTGAACGTGTAGTCCTACTTATCGTGAATACTTCAAATCTCCACATGTAGTTAGAAGGGATTGCACGACGAGGAGTGTAAAGCACATCATCGACCAAAGAGTAATAACGGTTATTCCCAGCCAATAGATTTGTTTGTTAATTACTGTCGATCCCGGCCTAAAATACTGTTCCTGATTGATATTGTTGATATTCCTCTTGAGTCAATATGATACTGTTGTTCGCTTCCTACAATCCAATCCTCAAAACTCCAATGAGGTTCCCCGCTGTGTTGAAAATCGACAGATATTATTGAGGCTTTGTCTGAAAATATTTCGAATTAGCATTAGCACGCCATAGTCACAGCTCCGAAAGTGTCGCCGACGCCCCGCCGAAGATAGCGCCATTTAACTATGGCCTAGCGTGATGCACCTAATATGCGAAACACCTCAACTTTAAAGCTACATGGAAGCCGTTAATTTCTCGCTCAACTTTACCCTTGTTGAATTAAAAAGGGTCAACATGCCAGCTGTCGTTGCCAACGCCATGTCCACATTTAGGGAAGGCAACGAGGAATCACAACCTCGCAACTCTCAACCACTTGAATATTCAGGGAGCTTGGACTCATATTCCCATAACGACCTAACTCCTGCTATTGGCACAGAATACAAAGGACTACAAGTCGCAGATATTCTAGAATTGGAGCAATGTGACCAGCTGATTAATGACCTTGCCGTGACCAGTGCGTTACATCCCCGTATTCTTTCATTGCGTTGCTTCTGACAATTAATCAGTATCGAGACGAGGGGTGGTCTTCCTGCGCGACCAAGATTTGACGCCACAGCAGATGCAGGCATTCGGAGAGAAATTGAGTGCGGTAGCAGGATGTGTGAGTTCCTTTCCCGACCAAGACTTTTACTTTTTCCGCGGCATTCCTAGACTGACTTGATAATAGCCAGAATCATCGGGGATTCACGTCCATCCCTTGACTGAAGATGGAAGTGAGCTGGGCGATCAAATCAGTGTCATTAGCAGCGAGAAGCAGAAGAAGGGCGGTGGTCTCACCCACCAACTCAGTGACACAAGCCGATTCGCCTCAGTGGGATGGCATTCCGATATTAGCTTTGAACCTGTGCCCTCTGACTACGCCATGCTCAGGATCCACACTCTCCCGGAGACGGGAGGAGACACATTATGGGCATCGGGTTACGAAGTGTACGACCGTCTATCGCCCGAGGTGGCAGGATTCTTAGAGGGCTTGACGGCCACACACGATGCTAAATTCTTTCACGATGAGGCACGGCGGTTGGGCAATCCGTTGCGAAAGGGAATCCGTGGCTCGCCTCTCAACCAGGGCGAAGAGCTCGAGGCAGTACATCCCGTCATCAGAACTAACCGTATGCGGCTCCGCATCCCTCCCGAGGACTCTTTAGATTGCTAACACTGTGCAATAGCGGTGACTGGCTGGAAATCTGTCTATGTGAACAGAGGATTTACTAAGCGTATTAACGGTGTGACCAAGGACGAATCGGATTTATTGCTGCAGTATTTGTTCAACGTAGGTTGAGAAGCCTTGCTCTATGACTCCACTATTCAGAATTGCTGACAGAAAGTAGTTGGTGACTCAAAACCACGATGCCCAGGTTCGTTTCAAGTGGAACCGGAATGATATGGCAATCTGGGACAACCGTTCTACCTGGCATTGCGCCACGTACGACTACGTAGAGGCTCGGGCTGGTGACCGAGTGTGCAGTCTGGGAGAGGCACCTTATTTGGATCCTCAGTCGAAGTCCAGGAGACGTGACCTGGGAGAAATTTGAGCAAGCATTGGGAGACAAGGAATATAGTAATGAGAACAAAGACAGGAAATCTGCTCAATGGCAAATGTCTGGTTTTACACGGAAACTATGAATGAAAACGCGTCATTGAAACCACGAATGCCACATATTCGAGGACAGCTTCAGCCATGTAGATATAGAGCTCGAAGGTACTCCTTCGCATACCCTGGAATGAACAGCACGATATATAGAACCTTGCAATCATGGCTTACGTATTTTCGTCTTTAATCCGCCCTTCAATCCGCCTCATCAAGAACTCCAAAGGCTGCTTTTAGTCGAGTATCATGATCAATTCTGTCCCGCTGTTTGGGGGCTCCGACTCTCACAAAGTCCTTGGACCAATACCACGGCATTGTCTCTTGGAACGCATCATGATCTGGGCAATACTCGATGAAGCGCGGTTGAATCTGCTTGTAAAAAACCGAGAAAAGACCAGTCGGACTAGCAAGTGCAAGGGAGAACCAAAAATTTCCCGATCGCCAGCTCCGATCCATTATCTCGGAAAGACTTGTAGTTGATTGGTTTTGTTTTCTCGGGCCAAACCCAGTAATCTTTCTTCGCTTGTCATAATTTCAATGAATTCGGACCTGACTGTATCATAATCGACAGCGTCATCGGCGATTCATAGACGGCTTTGTTGGTAAGCCAGGTAGGTGCGCGGATCGTCTCAATTGGACGAGAGCATGCCCATTCAAGGTCAACTAGCGAAGTGATATGTCAGTCGTCGTCAACAAAAAGTATTGCTTTGGTGGAGATCGGTGAGAGTGAAAGTGAAAGTGAAAGGGCCACGGCTGAGTTCTCGCGTGAAGAATGATGGAAAGGTTGTTTGCATTGCAGTCAAAGCCGATGCCTGGTAAATGTAGTACAGTCACTTATATTGTTTATTACATTTGCTTGATGTCTGAGTCGACTACTGAAAAGCCTCAGAAGGTCCACGATATATACATTCACGGCTCAGGATCTTGCTCGGTGCTGCCACTATGTCTTTATGGAGGCCTGTTGTCGCTACATGTATTATTAGGAAATTGAAATTCAAGCTTGGTTTTTGACAGATATCACAGTAGTGTATTGAATTCCTTATTCTGGCTTGGCATGGACGGATGATGTGGAAACGGCCTCACTTACGGCCGTTTCTCGCAGCTCACTTGCCGTCTGCTACTTTTGTGGAGTAAACTTATAAAGCCCCTATGAAAGATCAATCACAAGGCTAACAATCGTCTTTAATAGCAATTAAAGAAAGATCAAACTGATTTGCCTGATGCCCAATAGATACTTACAAGGTACCTCAACCGTGGGCGTTGCTATAGTGAATGATTAAGTCGCGGTGAGGTCACTGGGGTCCTTAAGAGAAAAAAAAAAAAAAAAAAAAAAG